GTGTTGAGGTCAGTCAGCAGGGCAATGTTGAGACAATCATACTTTTTCCCCCTTAGAAAGGTACCATTAAAAGTGTACTGAATACAGGTTTTATTTTTCAGTGAAGTGCATGAATTATTTATGAAATACAAGAGAGTTTCTTACTTTGTTTCAGTATGAAGAAGATCCATGCAAACTACAAGGGCATCCAGCCCTGTTACAGAGCAGTTAAGGAGGCTCAGAGAAAATGTAAGCACTTTATCAATTTGCACAAAAATCTTATCCCACAGACTTCAATAAAGGGTCAGTCTTCATCTCACTAGTGCCATATATATTAGTGTTCATAAAAAACACTAAAAGAAAAATAAAGACAGGATCCAAGTTCTAATCAAAGTTATCCATGTTCCCATGGAATAAAAAAAAGGAGGAGGACTGGATAACTGTAAAATCATGTACAGTACTGTGCAATACTCCTTCATTTCTTTATATTTTCATTCCAAGCAGCCAGACTTTATTGTATTTTTTTAAGAGTGGGCTTGGGTTATAGTTCTCCAGGATTTCTGAAGGTCTGTCACAGATTTTATTTGGACATGTTAAGAAGAATCTTATTTGGGGGGGATTGTTTGTATGGCTACTTAACACTGACCTGTGAAACATTCAAACATGGATAAAGGCCCACATTCTAAGAAGCGCTTTGATAGTCCTTCAAGAAGCCTGGAGAACAATTCCTGAAAGAAATTACAAGAAAGCTGCCTATAAGAGTTAAAGCTGTGATAAAGTCATATTTGGTGGTCATACCAAATATTGACTTTCAAGCTTCAACTTTTCTATAAATCTCGGCACTTATTTTAAATCAAATCAAATCACTTTTATTGTCACATCACATGTGGAGGTACACTGGTACAGTACATGCGAGTGAAATTCTTGTGTGCAAGCTTCAATACCATAAGAACAAGCAAAATATAAGAATGGCTAAATCTGAGAGTTTTTTTTAAAGGCAAATATAATGAAATGATGGGCAATTCAAGACTTTTAGTACAGTGCTCTGCCTGCAGAGTTAGGTTTCTACATGGTATTAATGAAACGTGTTCGGGAGAAAGGATACAGTCACCCTGCTGACTCTCTGGTTGGACCTGATTTTCAATCTCTATCAGTAGTTCACAATCAGGGATCATAAGGTGTCGATGTACTCTGATGTTCTGGTACTGGCCATCCTGGCTCAGAGGGTTGTCTGTGGAGTCTGTGCCAAACAGGACCAAAGCCAGCTCAATCTTCGTCTCTGAAAAAACCTGACAGAGGAAGGGGAAAGCATGTTGGGAGGGTGCTAAAATCAGCCTCATTAGGGTGCTTTGTTTTATAAATGTGCAGTTGTACCTGGCGCTGGACAAACTTCTGGATGACTTTTTTGGCAAGTTCAAAGGAAGACTCTTCCCCGGGTGCAGAGTTGGACATGGTAAGCCCCACATCCATGCACAGCACCACAGCTGTCTGCAGAGGACATACTTATTTAATTTACGACACTTAGAGGTGCCAAAAACACAAAATTACTTCTCAAATGCTGCGTTAAGGTCGTGCTTTCTCATGCAGATAAGATAAAACGAGTATGCGAGCCTTGTATGCACTGAATGAGGAGCGTGACCGTTTCAGGCTGGACATGTCTCAACACGCCGCTGACGCTAAACGTCTCAAAAGTTCAAAGAAACATAAAAACAAAATGTTCCTAACGAATAAAAGCTGCACATTTAATATCGTGGATAGTATCTAACAAGCATGTATAAGTCCGTGACTTATCTCTTTAACAATTGAAGATAAAACAACTTACTTTTGAGCCTGCCATTTTTTCTTCTTTTCCCTCCACCAAAGCAAAGACTGTGTCACTTTGTTATGGATCCGGAAAGAAACAATGAACTAGGAACCGAAACTAAGTTTCTATTTACGATGAGACTTCTTCCGTAGACCTTATGAATTTATTATTGATTGTTGTTCACCTTAAATTACAATGTTATGTCAAGACCACTTTTGTGGTAGTAAGACTGAAGAGGCGGTCCGATAAAAGCTAAAATGAAATGTAGGTCAAACGCCCTCCGGCTAACCGCGCGCCTACAATATGCAAACATTTCCGAGCTGTGGTCAAGATTTCAGAAATACTTAATTCTAACTAATCACTGAAAATACAAAATAATATAACAACATAAGTATTAAAATAAAATAATAATAATTTAAAAAAATACAAAATCTGCGCAAATTTTAACCTTGTCATCCCTAAATTGATTGTTTTGTGTTTTATTTACTAACGTTACTTAGATTTTTCATTTGCAATTATAATAGTTTTTGTGAAATAATAAGCCTGACTTCCCTACATCAAGATATTGAAATCAAACCCTCCTTTTAATGTTCCCTCAAACCAGCCCTGTATGCTCAGAAAGGTTATTAAATACATAATTTTATTATCTTCGATCATCCAGGAGCTATGTTCAGCCATGACTCACAGGTTTGTGCCTTTAGACTTAAATCACTAAACATGGAGATGTGTCTTTTTAATATATGCATTAACACAGAGCTTGTGTATTTTAACACCCCAACTAGAACCTAAATAGACTTAGGCCATAAATGTAACAAATCAGACATTTAAAAAGTGGCCACAGCAGAACAAATTAGCAAATGTTAATCTGACTGTATTTCTCATGAACTTATTGTATTTGGAATGGTTGCTGCAGAAGGATTTTAGATTTTGTTCAGTGAGTATTGCAGGATAACACTGGGGTGCCAATAATCTCAATTTAAAGCACCCCTCGCCCCCAGAGAGCCATCTGCATTGCTGTGCACCATGCAGGGTTTACATGCTGACTCTTGTCTTTGTCTGCTGATTAGAGTGACTCGCTGGTTTTAACGATACAGTAAATATTAGTCTGTAGTTGAGATGTAATAACACAACACTTTATTTCACTTGTGTAAATGTTTGCATCATATAGATTCACAACATGTAAAACTGCATCACTTAACCCAGCCAGTCATATCCATAAACATTTCAACAAACATTTAGACCATCTGGATGTTTTAATCCAGTCTTGCTTGAATTTCAATCAGTTTTTTTTGATAGCTGTTTACAGTACATATATCTCAAAGTGCTGAAGTATAAAAGCACCTAGCTAGAACATCTTCTAGGCTTAAATATAGAAAGCAAATTGAAGTAATATGTAAAATATGTGAGCATGGAAATGTAACAGGAATTCTTCAACTTCAGCTTTTTTGTGTGTGTGCGATTTAAAACTGTGAAGACAACACAAACACTTGTTTTAATGCTGTTCAACGTATGAAAACATGAACAAAAAAAGAACAATCTGTCAGCTTGTTCTCACTATGGCTTTGTAACTGCTTAATTAACCCTCAATAAGAAAAGAGGTATTGGTCTCCTTTCCTTTCAATCTCCATGCATTGTTTAGATACCTTGACTATGTACAGAGTCCAGAAACCAACAAAAACTCACAGGCCAGAATTTTTCTTACCCCAGAGTGTGATGTAAGGATCATATCATGACTTTTAATTTTTAAAAATCCCTTGCAAATAAATAATCAGCAGTGGATTAAGCTAAAGAGACTCCTTGGAGGTCTTCAGTGCTATGAGATAATTATTGTTCAGTTATACATAAAAAAATAAAACTTTTAGTTGTCTTTTACTGGAATTGTTGTCACCAACAAAAACATCACTTAGCCAACATTTTCCTTCATCCAAATGTGTATTAACCTACAACAAAAAAATCCCAAAGAAATGTACGGAAAATGGCTCATCTAAAGTCCAGGCTTTTAAAGAAAATAAATGCATGTCTTTTAAACACTAAACAACATACACTATTAAAGGACGAAGTACCAGACCACCTACACCTACAGTAGCCGCTCAGCCATGAAAACCCATGCCACAAAGCTCCAGACACACAGTTTTTGTGCTTCTGTATTGAAGCCAGGGGAGGTTTGGACCTCTGCAATATGCGCCTCAGCACTTGGTGACCCATATGTGACCTTATGTGACCTGGCTGTGGCAGTGGTTCCTAAAAGCTTTCATTTTGCAGTGATACTTACGGTTGATTGTGGAATATCTAGGAGGGCTGAAATTTCACAAATTGTCCTCTTGCAATGATGGCTTCCTATTATATCACCACACCTCAAATTCAGCAAGCTCTTTACAACAACTCATTCACAATTATTTGTGAAGGCAGATTGCATTGCTAGGTGCTGGAATTCAAAGACTCAAGTGGTATGACCCAATACTTTTGCCCATACGGTGTATATGTTGCTCACAACAAAAGATTCATGCATTCTGTAGTGACTGATGGCTGTGGGGTTGCATGCTATAGGCAGAGGAGGAAAAGTCCAATTTTATGACAATGAATCTGTTTTTTTATGGTCACGCTGCCCCTTAAAAGGACAGATTTTCACACTGGTGCTCTTTGGTGTATATTTCCACTAAAATCAGCAACTCACACAAAGTAAACCCACACCACTGCCAGGGGACGGTCACCCCCTTTGCCCATTTTTTATGCCAGCCTCACTCTAAATCCACCTTCAAAGTGATTATGATTACTTCACAAAGACAACAGTGTTGCCTTTGAAGGTATTTTTGATGGCATTGAACAGCACAGTGATCATATATACTTAATGCAGATATTTACAGATGAAGTGAAAGTTGATGTAAACTCTCAGGAGTGTGTGCATATCAGTGTCCACGCCTTAGCTGTGAAAACCAAGGTCCATATGTTTGAAAAGGTCTTTGAGTGGGAGTGCTGTTCCATAATTATTGGTGGCTATTTAGTGATCTGTGAAAGCTGTAATGAACCTGTAATCAAAAAGAAAAGTCCCATAATAATTACTCCAGTGCTTCAACTCCAATAATGCTAGGTGATAGCAGTTCAGCACCAAAGGAGAGTTCAGGCAGTGCTTACTGTGTGATTATTAACAAAAGAGACATTTTGAAATAGTTTTAGAAAAGAAATTCTAATCAAAAGATAATTTCTTACTCCTGTGGCTTTCAGGAAAGTCTCAAACCCTTCATTAGCAAAAACATAGATAGTAGTGGTGCTCATTTTGACACTCAAATTATTCAAATAATTCCCAACTTTGACCACATTAGCAATATGCTCCTTGAGCCCAGTGCCCACTACTTCACACTGATGACGTTTGGGCAAGTTCACTGGGTGCCTTGCTCTGTAGAGTGCCAGAAACAGTGTCAGAGTCAAGCAACTCGACTATGCTGTATGGCGAACAGTCTTCAAGCCCCAATTTCCCACAGGCCCAGCCACAGAAGCCTTTCTCCAGGTCGCGCACCGCCTGCCACCACTCACTGAAGGCCCAGGACACCTGCACCACAGCAGAGTACAGAGCCAGTGACAGCGCCAAAGGCATGATGAGCATGGGGTAGAAGATGATAAGAAAGGGGCATATTGTTATCTTGTGCCAGAACGTCCGCTCCTCATTGTACACCAGGAAGACATTGTACCAGGTGAGGGTGCCGTAGTAGAAGGAAGTGATGAACGAGAGGATGAAAACCACAGGTGCGCACGAGATGCTCCACAGGACCACATGGGGTCCCTGACACGCACCTAAGCTACAGGTGCGCTTGGAGCCTTCGCTCGCTTCGCATGCTGCATCAAGACGCTCCCTCGACTTGGCGAGTTCCCTGATTTCCTTCTCTGTCAAAGTGACGTGTATGTCCACCACCTGACCCTTCTTCTTTCCACGCGTAATAGTGCCAGTCAGGGTCACGTAGCGGCTGTCTGGAGGAAGACTCCAGCCTGTTCATACAGGATATGACATGGAAGTTAAGCAAGCGACACACAGGCAAGCCCAAACGTAACTGTAAAAAAGCCTGTGCAGTGTGTAAAAACATAATAACAGAACACAATCATTTGCAAATCTCATTAACCCACATTTTGAATCTGGACCAATAAACTGAAAATTCAAATTCTTTTTGGAAAACATGGGCACTGAATGCTCCGGACTACAGAGGAGAGAGATCATCTGTCTCAAAATCAGCGTGAAGTTCAAAAGCATCTCTGATGGGGTTCTATTAATGCTTGTGGAATTGGCAGTTGGCACATCTGGAAAGGCTCCAGCAATGCTGAAAGATAGACACAGGTTTTACAGCAACATTTTAGCAAAGGCATCACATATCTCAGTGATACAACACTAAAGAGTTGCATCCATTACAGCATGGCTTCATAGTAGAAGCCTGCAAGGATTGTTGTTGAAAGAAAAGAAGATGCTACAGTACACAGTGGTAAACATGGCCCTGTCCCAACTTTTTTCAGATGTGCTGCTGCCATCAAATTCAAAATCACTTTATTTTTTCTGGGTATGTTTTCTGTGTTGTATTGTGAATAAAATATGGGTTTATGAGATTTTCAAATCCCTGTATTTTGTTCTTATCTATACTTTATACAGCATCCCAGCTTTTTTGGAATAATGGTTGCTGTAACACTGAAGTCTATTTTGTGCACAAATCCTGTCCTACAGTACTAACATCTGACATGTTGGGTTCATGAGTTTAACAGTGTGAGACAGCTTTTTCACCTTCGCCTGTGGGTGTGCAGAGGAATTTAGTTCCCTCCTCAGTGCTCCTCTCTGCTCCTTCGTCTCCTCCTTGGTCCTCTCCTGGTGCCCTCTCCATTTCAGACCGATAAACAATGAAGGACTCAGGACGTGGATCTTTCTTCTTCTTCCTCTTCCTCCTCATGGAGGGTCCTACTTCCCCATCATCCGCATGGCTCCCTGACACGTCAGACCTTAAGGAGACCATCTGGGGCTGCCTTCCCCCTCAGTCTGAGGCTCCTCTACCTGTGCCATGTTCTCTCATTCATCCAATCCAACTCTTACTCTGAGGCTACTGTTTGGATGTGTTATGTGTGGAAATGAATAATGAAATTCTAAGCAGCATACAAATCTCCAACCATTGCATTAAGCCTTTACTCTGATGACTAGCTGATTGCAAAGTCATAAAAACATACACACTAGCACACACAGACACACACACACAGAGCGTCATTAGGAAAAACATGTTTTTAAGCTCAGTGTGTAAGCCTGTGCCCACTGATCCTGGCCCAGATTCTGCACAGTAGCCTATTTTTGCTTTATGTGCTGATGTCAAATGTCATGTTATCATTGATTTCATGGCATCTCATGGTATGGCATGAACAGGAAACAAATAGGATATCACAAACAAAGCATGACACAATTGTTCAAAGGGGGGGGAGGGGGTCTCTTTGCATGACAGCGCAGCAATATAGGCTGAAGCTCAGGCTAATATAATCACGTCCAGACACATGATAGGGGGAAAAAATAAGGAATTTAAAGAAGGAAATGTACAGTTGGTCCAAAACAATGCATGTTTTTCAGAAGAGGGGGTGAAAGCGACAATGAAGCCCTTCATACAGCTGATCCCCTCCCATTTAAATCCCACCCATGTCCGCTCTTTTGTCTGCAGCCGGTGAATGTGCTCTAACCACAACATTTCCACTGCGGCTTCATCTTACCTTCAATCTGCTGGACGAGCTCCGTGTAGATTAACTTGCACCGTGTGAGAATAAATTACTGAATCTGCCTGACACACAGGAGCAGAGCCCGCAAATTTCAGCGCTGTGTTTGTGTCCATACAGATGCGCTACGCAAAGCGATTTCCAGAATAGCACTAGTCCCGCCCCTCCAACCTCTGCCGCACACCAATCCCCACCATCCGTGATCCTCACGGCTGTCATGTGAACAAGGAAAAAATGATGATGTGGGAAAACCATCATAGTCTAATATAATTCCCGGGTATTATATTAGACTATGATGTTTTCCCCACATTTTTCCTACAGTGTAATGAATCCAGTCCTTTTTGGCCTTTTAAAATATCATTAAAGAAGTATTATGTTATTCTTGTTGCAATTTCCTCTGCTCAATTGGCCAGATCACTCTTTTTTTTTTAACGCAATTTTAATATCAGTAAGACTTTTGAGTGGTATAAGTGAAGGATATAAGTCACTTAAGTCGCTAAAAACTGATTGCAGCATTACTTTGGGACAGGAGTGCTATTTGTGGAAAATCCTAAACTTATTAAAATATGAGCAAATAAATGAGTATATAAGGTCAAAAATATAAAAAAAAAAAAAAAGAAGCTCAAAATAGCTTTTTGTGGCTAGTAGACAATAGTAAACAACACACTGATTAAATATATGAAATGAGTAGGCTGTAATAGCGATGAATTCCTATTGTTTTTACAGAAAATCATTTATCATTTAAAATTTTCATACAATACCAACATAAAATTATTATTAATAATAACATATTAAAATTACATAAAATGAATTTAAATAAATGAATTGGGAATTTTAAGTTTTTCTTAATAAAAACGTTCAATAATATGGTAGCCTTTAAAAAAAGTCAGTAGAAATAATATGAATTTTGATTCCTTTACTTCTAATTGAACTAATTAAAAATAACATTAAAACAATGTCATTTCCTGAAGAAGTCTCAGTTCCTAGCCTTTAGCTTTAGCTTCAATAGCTCTAAAGAACGGGATCAGTTGATGTGATAATATTAGCCTCAAAGTATAAAAATGAATGACCAGGATTCATTTGATAATATTGACCAGCTCCTCTTTCACCTCGGTAAATTCACTTATTCAGTTTATTACAGTTTATTACATCAGTTATGTTATCTTGGATTAGCATTAGCTTATTAGCTGTATGGCTAAATGTCAGTCACAAGCCAGGAAGCTAGCTAGACAACATGACAATTTAAACAATGTTAAAAAGGTTTTAGAGGTTTATTTATACTATTGTTGTTTTTGTTATTATTATGAAAGATAAGTGTTATATGTACTTTTTTATAGCTCTTCAAACTCGGGAGCTATCTCAAAAGAAGAATGAAATTAACCAACAGACTAAAGGTATGCGTTGATGCTAATGTTGGTGTAAAACAGTGGCTTAAGAAAGGTAATGATAAACTGGGCTAAAGACAGGCCTTTGTGTCTTTTGTTATTAGATATTAAACACCATTAAGCTTTTTTTTTGTCAGTTTAAGTCACAGAGCCCCTCTTGGCCACCTTGATGTGTCCTCCCTGTTTCTGTCTGCATGTTATATTATGATTGGGTCTATATTTTGTTGTACAACACCAAAATGTTTGTAGTTTCTCCTCTGTACTACACAAAATTAAGTAATCAATACATCATTAAAGCTAAAACTCTGTACTTTAATCACATTTTGATTGTTTTATTTAAAATTCACAAGTGGTAACGTGAAGGACCAAAATCAACAAAACTGTATCTATGTCCAACAACTGTATACTTAATGTCTCAGTAGTTGTTAGTCACTTGTCCTTTTGCTGACTTCTCGCATTACGTTGAAGGGTGGTTTTCTCATATGTAGGTGTGTTTTTATTTCCTGCTTTTGTTCTCTTCCCTCATTTCTAACTGTCTGTCATTAGATTTCCTTATTTGATCACTTTCTCCTGTACTCAATCTACTCCTTTGTGTATATGTATAGACTTGCCACGTCAATTATCACCTTGTCTGTTTGTCTACCTTTTGTTTCACAAGCCCATTTCTATTTAGTTTTTCTTGTTTTGTTTATGTTTTTTTCTCTGTTTCTGTTTTTTGGATCAATGACTAAAGGGTTTTTTTTGTTATGCTTGCCTGTGGGTCCAGTCTCTAGCATTTTATGATACTAAGTGGCAGTATCCTCTTTTTAATATCTGGTCACCTTGTCTTGAGTCATTTAAAAACATTGCCCATTCATTCCCTTGTATAAGGTCCATTTAGCCCACTATTGTTTAAAGATCCCTGCTTTAGTACTGATTGATCAGGCTATCCATTGAGTACACTTCCAACCACCTGACTAGCCTTAAGGGATTTGATTTTAAAGTGATAGTGTCCTTTTGAATTTCCTTATCAGCTATTAACAGAAGCACAATGTTGGGGAATCCTGTATCATGAACTTTATCTTTTAATATAAGATTATTGTGTGCTGTGTTAATGTGTTTGGCAACAGTTTCCAGAGCCAACATTGCTGAGAAGAAGTCTTACATTGAAGCAATCAACAGAAATATTGAGCAACTTGAAGAGGAAATCAGTGTGAAACAGAGCACTGTAACACGTAATAAAGCAAATGCAAAAAGGTACAGCATTTTGTAAAATTAAACAGGAAATAAATGTGCCAAACCATGATAGATTACGGTGCAGGAAGATTGTGCAAAAGTGTTGAGCCACCTCTCATTTCTTTATATTTCGCTCCAAGGAGCCAGACTTTCTTGTGATTTTTACAGTGGTCTTGAGTATTATTTCTCCAGGCTTTCTGAAGGTCTTTTAAAGTTTTTCTTTGGACATTTGGATGCTTTTTCACTCATTTTCAATCTAGTCCTTGTTCATGACCAATGTTTTTTTTGTTGTTGTTGTTTGTATCTTTATTAACACTGCCACTTAACACTGACCTGTGAATCATTCAAGCATAAAAATGCATCTAAATCAATGAATGAACCAGTATTTTGTCTGCACATAACAGATAACGTAGCAAGGAAGTCATTTTAAACTGTATTTTTAGGCACTTTGTAATTAGCACCCTGCCCTAAAAACATATAATTCACTCCCATTTCTTGAGTCGATTCTACAAAAAATGCCAAAGATAACTCAGTTTGATAGAAATGAAATAGCATTTTGCACCAACAATGATTCCCAAAGAGCTTAGCTGAAAACTTGGTATATCGCAGGATGGTTCTTAAAAAGAAATAATAGAAAATAGGACAAGTGGAGGATAGAAGAAGTGATGGAAACATTAAAAAGCTAAAGATGAACAGGATCTCAAAGTCCTATCCTTGAGAAATAGAGAAAAAAAAGTCCAGTAAAGACTTGACACAGGACCTGAGAGATAGATCTCTACTGTTCACTGAAACCAAACAAAATTGGTCTCACTGGAAGGATGATTGTCAAGAAGCCATTCCTAAGAAGTGGTATGCCAGGCTGAGGTATGCCAAATTACACGGGACTGGACTGAAAATCGGGGAACAAGGTCTTATGTAGTGATGAATCCCATTAGTTTAAATTGTCGTCAGTATGTACAGAGGAGGTCAGTTAAGTGTCTACAGCCAGCTATAACACATGGTTAAGGCTGGATGATGGTTTGAGGCTCCATTTCAGCCTGTGTTGTTGTCAAAACTGGTGAAGTAATGAACAAAGGACACTCTCATCAAATTTTGATCCATCGTGCACTATCCCCTAGAAACCCTGTGATTGGAAACAGCTTCATTTTTTGTTAGTTCTTTTGTAAGTTCTAAAAAAGTCTTTTACTTAATTAATATGTAGCAAGTGACAGAGTAAAAGTAAATAACCTACAGAGTACCTGCTTGTTTTTTATATAAATTTAGGATGAAGGCGACTAACGGCCTGCTTCTTCAATATGAGCAGACGTTGAAAGCAGAACTGGAGAAAAGAAAAGCCGACTACAACCATGACACGTGGGTTCATTTAGCAGCCTTGTTTGTGATTAATACTTTTGTGTGTTGGAAACAGACATGTTAAATGTTCTTTATTTATACCTAAACAGGGAGGTCTTTCAAGAAAGGATTGCAAGCTACAGAAAGATTTTCCAGGAGCATAAAGAATATTATTTACAAAATCCTCTTGCTGAAAAGCTCCTCGTGCTGAAGGCTGAAAAAGAGGAAATTGAAAGTAGGATCAAAGCTTGGGATGAACAAATAACAATGAAGCAGAAGGAGCTGGACCATCTTACTGGTGATAAACCTTTCGTATCTTTGAGCTTTGCTCTGTTAGAGCTGAAAATTTTTACAGCTTGGTATACAGTCCCTTAAATTTTTGTCCGAACAGGTCCAGTAGTTACTTCATTTTCCACCGAGAAACTGCCAGATAGGTATTTTAGTGAATCACTCACAAAGAATAATCACATAGCTTACAGGAATGGTCATTTCTGACTGACCGAGCCCATTTTTTGTTTCTAGTGCTTTTGGCTTGCAGCCTGTAACAGAACAAGAGAATGGATTTGATCATCAGACAGCCAGGGACAGAGAGCCTTCCATTGACATCTCCTCTCTGCATCTCAATCAGACAACGGTACAGATTTAGTATTTTATTAAATGCATCTAAACACTGGCAAGCAATCATGAAAGGCAGTTAAAGCTGTTCCAGTTATAACTTCACACTTTGATAAATCTGAGCATTTGTTACAGAGTGGTCATAAAACATCTGATGAAGAGGTAAATGCTGAAGAGATCCATGAGGAAAACATCCAGGATTTACTCACCTGTAGTACTTCCCCAGAGGAAGGAAGTAAGGAGCTGTGGTCCAGTCAACAGTTTTGTGGTGAGTCATACAGTGGGGCAAAAAAGTATTTAGTCAGCCACCGATTGTGCAAGTTCCCCCACCTAAAATGATGACAGAGGTCAGTAATTTGCACCAGAGGTACACTTCAACTGTGAGAGACAGAATGTGAAAAAAAAATCCATGAATCCACATGGTAGGATTTGTAAAGAATTTATTCGTAAATCAGGGTGGAAAATAAGTCTTTGGTCAATAACAAAAATACAACTCAATACTTTGTAATATAACCTTTGTTGGCAATAACAGAGGTCAAACGTTTACTATAGGTCTTTACCAGGTTTGCACACACAGTAGCTGGTATTTTGGCCCATTCCTCCATGCAGATCTTCTCGAGAGCAGTGATGTTTTGGGGCTGTCGCCGAGCAACACGGACTTTCAACTCCCGCCACAGATTTTCTATGGGGTTGAGGTCTGGAGACTGGCTAGGCCACTCCAGGACTTTCAAATGCTTCTTACGGAGCCACTCCTTTGTTGCCCGGGCGGTGTGTTTTGGATCATTGTCATGTTGGAAGACCCAGCCTCGTTTCATCTTCAAAGTTCTCACTGATTGAAGGAGGTTTTGGCTCAAAATCTCACGATACATGGCCCCATTCATTCTGTCCTTAACACGGATCAGTCGTCCTGTCCCCTTGGCAGAAAAACAGCCCCATAGCATGATGTTTCCACCCCCATGCTTCACAGTAGGTATGGTGTTCTTGGGATGCAACTCAGTATTCTTCTTCCTCCAAACACGACGAGTTGAGTTTATACCAAAAAGTTCTACTTTGGTTTCATCTGACCACATGACATTCTCCCAATCCTCTGCTGTATCATCCATGTGCTCTCTGGCAAACTTCAGACGGGCCTGGACATGCACTGGCTTCAGCAGCGGAACACGTCTGGCACTGCGGGATTTGATTCCCTGCCGTTGTAGTGTGTTACTGATGGTGACCTTTGTTACTTTGGTCCCAGCTCTCTGCAGGTCATTCACCAGGTCCCCCCGTGTGGTTCTGGGATCTTTGCTCACCGTTCTCATGATCATTTTGACCCCACGGGATGAGATCTTGCGTGGAGCCCCAGATCGAGGGAGATTATCAGTGGTCTTGTATGTCTTCCATTTTCTGATGATTGCTCCCACAGTTGATTTTTTCACACCAAGCTGCTTGCCTATTGTAGATTCACTCTTCCCAGTCTGGTGCAGGTCTACAATACTTTTCCTGGTGTCCTTCGAAAGCTCTTTGGTCTTGGCCATGGCGGAGTTTGGAGTCTGACTGTTTGAGGCTGTGGACAGGTGTCTTTTATACAGATGATGAGTTCAAACAGGTGCCATTCATACAGGTGACGAGTGGGGGACAGAAAAGCTTCTTACAGAAGACGTTACAGGTCTGTGAGAGCCAGAGATTTTCCTTGTTTGAGGTGACCAAATACTTATTTTCCACCCGACTTTACGAATAAATTCTTTACAAATCCTACCATGTGAATTCATGGATTTTTTTTTCACATTCTGTCTCTCACAGTTGAAGTGTACCTCTGGTGCAAATTACTGACCTCTGTCATCATTTTAAGTGGGGGAACTTGCACAATCGGTGGCTGACTAAATACTTTTTTGCCCCACTGTATGCTGAAGGGTGTGTATTCGGGGTCACTCACATTAAAAGGGGACATTATTTGACTCTTCTTACTCATAATATAGATAGATTGATTGCTGTCTATTTCAGTCTGTCTTTGGATGATAAAGAAATATGTAAAGTAAAGATAGAAAGGACTAAAGATAGGAAAAGGGCAATCACAAGCTTTCTTTTTTAAGCCAGAGAGAAAATCTCACTATTCACCATTGAGAAATTTAATTTTTTTAAAAACAACAAATGACATATTCTGTAAATAAAACCATCCTGTTTTATAATTACAGGGAAGTCTGTGCAATTACCTACACATTTTTACAAATGTATTTTTTAAAATTGAATCCCAAACAGTCATCCTCATCATCTAGCAAGATTAAGATGACCTTGGTAACTTATGTGATACTGAAAGCTCAAGCTCGACATAACCTGTTAATCTGGCTTTGTGGTGCGCCTCTCTGGTGCCACGAGTTTAGTTTGAATGATCATGTTAATCAAACCACGTGAACAGAATATTTGCTTCTTCAGACCAGAATCAGCCAGAGGACATGCACACTGAGGAGCAGGAAGAGGAGACTTCACAAGAACACCAGGTTTTCTGATTTTTAGTTTACTATACTTGCAATTTCTGCTAATACACCTGAACCAGTTAATCAAACAAATTTGCCAAATGTATTGAATGTATAACTTTTTCTTTTTTCTTGTTATTTCTTCTTGCTGTCCTAGTTTACCTTGCTGTCTCCACAGCAGTGTGTGTTATAAATAGGTAGTTGCGGCTTCTAGTAAATGCATTCCACAGTTTTGTATGCCTTTACTAGAAGCCGCACTGCTTATCATATAGAAACCCAGCACAGGATTAGAAATTACCACTGTTTGTCAGAAACCTACATGAAAAGCTGGGGTTGTAGGGGTTACGAGGTAACCTAACAACAGACCGAAATGTGCTGTTTTGTGGGAAATGTAGTCCAGACCTGCAAAGTATGATTTTGACATTTTTATCAATGAAATACAATTTTTAAGACTTTTAATAATCTATTCTACTGTATCAGAGAAGTTTAGAAGCCGTGTATGTTTCCAGGAAAATATCAAGTTGCTCGAGGCACTCCACAGAACAGTATTGCCACAATGGAAAACCCACTTTTACAAGTATCCATCCGAACTGTTGGAAATGCTTTGACCCCCTCGACAGGAGAAGCTGCCCACAGTTTTCTATGCAGAGGAGATTTTTGAGAGTGAGATGGAGAAGGGAGCAGCTACACATGAAGAGCAGCCACCACACGACAAGGACGATGAGGAACTCGCTACTTCTTCTCAGCCTCCATCTCAGGAGACTGATCCTCAGTCAAAAATTACAATTGCGTCTTCAACCCCGACATTCTCATTTAAGTAAGACTTTGGATGAGTGGTCTGATGCTTTGAATTACACTCACTCAAGTCCTGACAACTGGTTTTCGTGTGTTCGCTGTAGCTTTAGCCCAGCCAGCTCCAAAGATCAAGGGAGCTCTGAGACCAAATCTCCAGCTTTCTTGTTCTCTCTGAACTCTGATCCCAACACACCAGGCTTTCCTGGATTTGGATTTGATGTGGGCTCATCACAGGAGGAGGTGAGGAATAAATGATCTCACAGAAATCATTGTGTAGGTTTTTAGGCATCCAGCTCATGGTGTCTTACATGCTTGAGTTTAGGGAAACTGGACGTCCTTTTTGGCTCATGACGATGTTTTATTTCCCATCCCGTTATTATAGTTAAATCAAATCAAATCAAAATAGATCACTTTTATTGTCACATCACATGTGCCACTGGTACAGCACAAGCAACAGTGGTAACTAAAATAAACCTAAAAAAAATTTAAACTAACATAAACAATTTTGTGAACTTGGAAAATAAAATAAAACAAGATAAAAAAAAAAAACAGGAATAAATAAGGAAAAATAATTAAATATCCTTAGTTTTTGGTATCTGTTACTTTGGTAAAAATGTTACTATAGCTTTCCTGATGGGGCATTGTTGGATGTGTTTTCCTAAATATTGCTTCTAACATATGGCCTCCTTATACAATAATAATTAAAAAGACTAAAACTAGCACAGAGTCTAATAAAAAGTAAATTACAACCATACAGTAAAAACTATACTGAAACAAAACTCTGGAAAATAACTGAACCTAAACTTAACTAAAAACAAATAGTCAAAATGAAAAAATAATGAAAACTGATTATAAAGTACAAAACTATTATTAACTCTGGTTTCAACCGCCACTCACACTGTGACCCATGTGGGAGGGCCAGTGTTTTGCAGAGAATTCACACCATTGCTTCTGTGACCTTTAACAGCCCTCATGACAGCATGGGCCAGCAACTCTCAGGACCAACTCCGGGAGGCTAAATATGTCAGATTCCTCTTGGATAAGGCTTGAAACTTTCTCATGAACCAAAAAATCCCCCAAAATGTCCAGTTGCCTTCAACAAACAATTAAGACAGAAAAAAGTATTTTCCTGCTTTTGGAATTACCTCCAGGTTTCTTTGCAGGACTTTTTCGGTTTCACTGGATCTTTGTTCACTGAGAAGGTAATGTTTTTTTCACTGAAAGCCTACTCTACTTCATGTCGTCTCGGTTTTGGAACAAACATACTAAACTATGATTAACCATTTCTAGAAAACCGCTGAATCTAAATCTTCAAGCAGTAAGTATCAAACCACAATGTGTTTGTGTGGTGTGTCGTTTTGGACCACTGATGTGTGCTGTATATGATTTCACAGGCCCTCAATTCCTGTTTGACCAACCAGAGACATGCGAGGACTTCCAGTTTGCTTTTGCCACCAAGAGCCCTCAATCAGCTAAAAAAGAAAATAGTGGAAATGATTTTCCATTTTCATTCAATTTCTAAGAGCTGTAAAAGTGTTTTCAAGTTAAGTTCTTCCATCTTATGTTGTGACATTAGCGGGAGCTGAAATAGCAACACATTTTTTGCTCTGTTGAGCAGTCATTATTAATTTGCAGGTTTAACCTAAAGTGAAAATTCAAACAACAATTAACTGATTTCTAATAGAGTTCAATAGAATTTTATTTAAGACAGATATAGAGACAATAATACACACGTAAGTTCATATTTCTTTACAGATTTCATTGTTCATGTGAAATAGTTTTTTGTGAAGTTTAGTTTGTTTACAGGTGTGTGTTCATATTTTGTTGTTTGCTGTTCGGTTTAAAAGGCAGAAGCAGTTTTCAGTCGAACAGTATTAAAAAAAACAAACGAAGACACTTAACTGGCCATTTCAGGTCACATTCAGACATTTCATGTGTTAAATAAGATTATATAAGAGTATCTCAATAAACATTTAGTAGCTCTTATTTATAGCTAATAAAATATTAATAAAACTCTGTAATAAAACTGTTAAAAAGATTCCTTTATCATATGATTTCTGGCTCATTCACTCATGATTTTGGAGAGAAAGCATTTATAACACCTTGCATACAGTCTTGTTTCATGGCACAGTCAGTAGTTAATCTATAAAATGTTTTGTTCAGTGGCACTTATGACTGTCTGTTGAGCAGTGGTTTAAATATACAAAGCCTCCCTTGGATTTTGGCACAATAAGAAAACATTTGTGCTGAATTCCTTGTCAAATAAATACTGGTACACAGGTGAGATCAGTGCTGGCATTTAGAAAGTATATTCATGGTCATTCAAGTTTAAGAGATGGGCATGGAGTAAAGGTCCCGCCACCTATTGTGCCCATACAGTATGCCCCCTAAGCACAAACAAAAAAGTCTGGGCACAAATTGGATCATGACCAGAACTTCTCTGAGCAAATAAAAGCAACTTTAGTGCAAGAAGGAGCACACAAAACCTCTGAATCCATCAGGTTAACTGATATATCAGAGGGCAGAGCAAGGGAGTTCTGCATTTTGATGGAAAGCATTGAAATATCTTTACGTGAAAACAAGAAGTCAGGCAGTCAAATTGAAAGCCCAAGCTTGTAAAGAAAGGTTACATACGATATGTGATGATGAGAATTAAAAATGATGGATAAAAGCTAAAAGGTGCAAAGCATGCTGCCATTTTACAGAGAGCTTAGAATCCACTGTCAATGCTGATGGAGCGTTGAGTCACATGTTCAATCTCTCCTGGGACATATTCATTGAAGCTGGTTTGGTACTTGGCCAACATCTTTAGCATGGGCCGCAGTTTTAACCACCACTCTACCTTGGGCATCCGGTGCCTTGGAGATTAAAAGGATAATAATTAATAAACAAGACAATGTGTTTTCCAAAAGCAGCATATTTTAGATTTTTTTTGTATTACTTACTCAAAATCGGTTATTTCCTTCAGTTCAGTGACAGGGGTGAATGAGACAACCTTCCTGTTAAGGCCGATGACACATGCTGTTTCTGGTGAGTTGGCAAACACTCGGCCTGGTGGAAAAAAATTCAGTCAATACACCTGATGTTTGACTCAGGATTGCTTCATGTTCTATCAATGCCATCCACGACTTGCAGTAAACCTACCTTGTCGGTAGTTTTCAGTCAGTTTCTCTGAAAACCACTCGATAGCTTTCACGCCCAGCTTCGTGCCAAAATTTCTATCAAAGGGAGAAGGTGCCCCGCCCTACAGCCCAAACCGAGAACAAAATTATCACATCAAAATGCCAATTGCAGTTGAGGTCAGACATTTAAATATACTCATCACAGGCATGAATGTCATGTTGATTTGGGGCTTTTAATGATCTCTTTCAACTGTTGTTTTTCCAGGAATGACGAATTGTGTGCACACGTTTGAATTTATTTTTGGATTTTCTCTCCACACATGGTCAAAACTGTACACACAGGTTCAAATATATATGTGCAAAAGGTTCTAAAATGGCTTTTAGCTTGGCAAGGTCAAGGACTATTAGCATCTCGTCAATGATCATGATTGACTACAGTGGTAGTTTCTCTGCTAGAATAAAAAGGTTTTTGTTTGACAGCAGTCATTGGATTGACCATTACTCAGCACAATGGGAAGGTCCAAAGAACTTAGTGACGATCTAAGAAGTATTGTCACTTGGAGCCATTTCTGACCAACCACAGATTCCAAGATCGTCAGTTCAAGCTATATGGTCTGGAAGAAGATCCAAACTGTCAACCTCAGATGAAAGGAAATTGGTTAGGATTTGCAGGAACCACCAAGGCTCAAGCCTGCTATGAAGTGGAAACTGCTGGAACACCAGCATCATTGTCTACAGTGATTCAAATGTTACAACACTATGAACTATAAGGATATGGGCCAAGAAAGAAGCCCTTTCTCCAAAATTGACACCTTCAGACTTGACATGGACAAGTCAAAAGCCTTCTGGATAAAAGACTTATGGTCAGATGAGACAAAGATTGACCTTTTAGGCCACAATGAAAAGGTAAATTTGGAGGAGTAAAAGTCAGACTTTTGAACCTAAGAACACTAACAGCATCATGCTTTGGGGCTGTTTTGCTGACAGTGGTACTGGTACATTGCAAAAAGTGAATGGAGTAATAAAGGACGAGGACTACCTCCAAATTCTTCAACTTAATCTCAGTTCAACAGCTAAATAGTTGAAATTTGGAGACAAACATGAGGACAGCATAAACCAGAAATAAAATGATAATATTCAAGGATGTTTTCATCAGCTTTTTTAACTGCAGTTGGGTGTTAATTTAAAGCGTAGTAAAGTTGATTTAGCAAGACATTGAAACTCATTCAACCTTAAGACATTCCCGAGACCACTGTCTAGCATGTTGATTTAAAAAAAATCTAAAAATAATTCAAACACATGCACCTAATTGTTGTTTTTGTTTTTTTAAGTTGTTAAAGATGCTGTACAATCAATAAAAACAGAACAGCTCAAAGAAATCATTAAAAGCACAAAACAATCATTCCCATGACGAGTCTATGTAAGCTTTTGACTACAACTCAAAGTTGGAAAACTGATCCATACCTGCTGGAGGTGTCCCAACACGTTGACTCTGCAGTCAAAGATGTTCTTCCCTTCTGATGAATACAGCTTATGGATGAAATCTGTAGTGTAGTTTTCATGGCATTTTTCATTCCTGTCATGACAGAGAACATGATCAACAAAGGAGTGCCACAGTGTTATTGGATGCAGGCTCAGCTAGACAATTATAAAAACTGATGTGGCACTTATACAATAATTATCCATAATTTTCTGCTGCTTATCCGGTATCTGGTTGCATGGGCAGGAAACTAATTTCCACAATTTGAATCTATCTATAAATACATCAATTCAACAATTTGTGTGCTTCACATGGAACATAGAGTGAAATAATGAAGTCAAAATACATAATACATCTTCTATTCTATGAGTAAATAGCTGCAAACTAAAACTTAGCTGTACTGTTCTACCTGAAGACAGTCCTGTGAGCGCTGCCTAACATGTCAATTTTAAATCTCCCATTGTTCATTTGGGCTCAGATTGGGTGACTGTCAAATCGGGTTGATCTGATATCCTCGTGTTGGTGTTGTTCCCAGATCATCATACTAAATGTTGTTCCAGGATCAACATTGCAAGTGACCAATCAGAATGTTGTGACGTCATACCTTTGAGACTTCGGGAAAAACCGGCGTAAAACAAAAAACTGTACTTAAGCTGCGTGAAACCGCCTCTGTCCGCCGATCAACGGACCCTGACCCTAACCCTAACCCTAACCGTAACCCTTTAATAAACAGTAAGCAGAATTGATATTGTCCTTGCAACATTGGAATTTCATAAATGCACGAATGGCTTGGCGCAAAGGAATAACGTCACAACAATGTGATTGGTCACTTGCAACGTTGAACCTGGAACAACATTTTCATGATGGTCTGGGAACAACACCAACACGAGGATATCAGATCATCCGTCAAATCGCTGCATGAGTTCCTCAATTTTTAGACTTATCAAACTATTCAGTGACCTCTTGTGCCCTCACTGTAGGAAAAAGGATACATGCAATACAGCTTTTTCCTTTAATTTGTCACTTGTTTAAATTTAGTTCACTCTATAAAATGTTACGTACCTCAGGATTAGACCTCGTTGGACATCTTTCTTCATCTTTTCAGATAAGTGCTCCACATTTGTCTGCAAACAGTTCACATTATTAGAGGAAACAGTGCTGTGAACATCACAAAAATGACTTTAGACAATATCTTTTTCTTCTACCTTAAGGTCAAGGATGTTAAAGGGATCTTCAAAAATGTAGGCTGCATCAGCACCCACTGCTATGCCAGTAGCGGATGCCAGATATCCACAGTACCCACCCATGGTCTCCACCACAAACACTCGTCTCTTGGTCCCACTGGCAGACTGCTTGATCTTGTCACAACTCTGCAGAAGAATTTGATTCTTTGGTTGTAATATGATATTTTAAGATATTTTCCGTTTGACACCATTCTCTTGAAACTCTAGAGACTGTTTTGTTGGGAAATCCAATTACATCAGCTGCTTCTGAAATACTCAGCCTGTCTGGCACCATCAACCATGCCAACCATGCTCTTTTCCCCCCATCCTCATGTCTACATGCCTGTTGAATTGCTGCCATGTAATTGGCAGATAAGATATTTGCATTAATGAACCAGTGAGCAGGAGTACCTAGCAATGTAACCTGTGAGTGTCCGCTATTAATATAGGTTTAGAGTGATAAACTGTACCGCACCGTTTCATTTTCCATGTCTTCAAAGCTGGAAGATAACATCTCAAACACTAAATGTTTCTATTTGGTTTATATGCAAAATTATAATAAAAATGAACAAAAATTAAATAAACTCAAGTCTTTTAAACAGCTTAAAGGTCAAAGCAGTTGTGATTTCAAACTTAACACTGCAAAGAACAACATTTGTACAGAAAGCCCTACAAAAATATATTTCTGCTGAGCCCTACCTCCATTGCACAATTGACAGCAGTGTCTGTACCCACACTGAAGAAAGTTCCCGGGACGT